TTGTTATTATTATTTGTATGTGTTCTTCATCAGAATAGTTAATGACTCTTCTGGTCCCTGGAAAAGCCATGTTCCAGCTTCTTCCTTCTGGCAGAAGATCTCGTACGCTGAGGTTCTTCCACATAATGTACCACCACAAAAAAACGTTTGAATGCGCTGAAAACGGCATAAAGTCCTAAATCGCTCTGAAACTGTCTTTTTTCTCCATAAATGTTACTACAGCGTCCATGGTTTTACACTGGTCCAGACCAGAGCAGAGACGATGGTCCCAACCAAAAGGAAATCCACTTAAGGAATGATTTTTTGAAAGATGCTAATAAAGCATTCAGAATTTCACTCTGAACCAGAGCAGAGAAAATGATCCGAACCAAACAGACTCTGCAGACAGGAAGCTCATCACCAGCAGCTGCACCACCTGCTGCTGGGACCAGAGAGAGAGACCAGAGAGAGACCAGGGAGAGACCAGAGAGAGACCAGCGAGAGACCAGAGAGAGACCAGAGAGAGACCAGAGAGAGACCAGAGAGAGACCAGAGAGAGACCAGAGAGAGACCAGAGAGAGACCAGAGAGAGACCAGAGAGAGACCAGAGAGAGACCAGAGAGAGACCAGAGAGAGACCAGGGAGAGACCAGAGAGAGACCAGAGAGAGACCAGAGAGAGACCAGAGTGAGACCAGATAGAGATCAAAGAGAGACCAGAGAGAGACCAGAGTGAGACCTGAGAGAGAGACCAGAGAGAGACCAGGGAGAGACCAGAGAGAGACCAGAGAGAGACCAGAGAGAGACCAGAGAGAGACCAGGGAGAGACCAGAGAGAGACCAGAGAGAGAGACCAGAGAGAGACCAGGGAGAGACCAGAGAGAGACCAGAGAGAGACCAGAGAGAGACCAGAGAGAGACCAGGGAGAGACCAGAGAGAGACCAGAGAGAGACCAGAGAGAGACCAGAGAGAGAGACCAGAGAGAGACCAGAGAGAGACCAGAGAGACACCACTTCCGCTGCTGTTGCACTTTCTCACTACTGTTAGTCACTTTTAGAATCATGTATTGGTTTGTTTGGATGTGTTTCTGCTGCTTTTCTCCAACAGGATCAATAAAGTTTCCATCTTTCTATAATTTCGGAGCAAACTGTATAATTAAGTCTCTACTACACGTTCTCCAAAGCTGCTGTACTTAAACTAAACAGATACTTTATTGATCTCTGATGGAGAAATGCAGAAACACATCCATCCAAACTTACACATAAATACATCTTTAAAACAATACTTTAGGCCACAGCAGGAGATGAGCTGCGTCCTCTGGTGTCTGCAGAGTCTTGGTTCAGACCATTTTCCCCTGCTCTGGTTCAGAGTGAAATTCTGAATCATTCCTCCAGTGGATTTCTAATTGATCTGTTTAGTTGGGACCATCGTCTCTGCTCTGGTCTGGACCAGTGTAAAACCATGAACTCTGAACTGCAGTAACATATACAGGTAACAGATAATAACATGATTTTCCAGCACATTCCATCTTCTAATAGGCAGCATTTGCATTCAGAGAACACACATACACAAGCACTAAACAGACACACACACGCGCACATGTCTTACTGTTTGTGTGTGAGTGTGTGTGTGTCTGTGTATGTGTGTGTGTGTGTGTGTGTTAATAGATAGATAAGAGTGTCAGGGTGCTCAGGTTGATGCGATGACAGCTGCTTCCTCCATGTGACAGTTTTATTGCATTTCTAATCTCTGTTTACATAAACCATCAGACACACACACACACAGACACACACAGACATGCTGCGGTGGTGTGTGCGTCCTCAGACCTCGTCATTGCTCTCCTCGCTGCCACTCACACAATGAAAAGGGCAAAGGCAACCAATCAAAATGATCTCCAATAACAATAATACCCATCAGACCGTGGGCCGGGAGCCTCGTGTTGGGGTTAGACGACTTTCTGAGCTTCATCTGACATTTATAAAATGAATTGCTTGTCGTCCGCCGAGGAAATAGCACATCTACGGATCGTGCATGGCAGGTTCTCCCCAGTCTCGCTCTTGACAAATCTCATATCCCTTCTGTGGAGTGACATGCCAGCAGAGAATTAGAGTATTGCGATTCAAAGTGTGATTGAGAGGAGGAGGCGGGAGGAGACGGGAGGAGACGGGAGGAGACGGGAGGAGGCGGGTGGAGACGGGAGGAGACGGGAGGAGACGGGAGGAGACGGGAGGAGACGGGAGGAGACGGGAGGAGACGGGAGGAGGCGGGAGGAGACGGGAGGAGGCGGGAGGAGACGGGAGGAGACGGGAGGAGACGGGAGGAGGCTGGAGGAGACGGGAGGAGGCGGGAGGAGGCTGGAGGAGGCGGGAGGAGACGGGAGCAAGCGGCCTCTCCATGTGTCACCTTAGTGTCCGCCGATGAGGAGAGATGACAGCTCCTGGAGTGGACTGCAGATTGGCCAGACCAGAGAGAGACCAGAGAGAGACCAGAGAGAGACCAGAGGAACCGGAGAGAGACCAGAGGGAGACCAGAGGGAGACCAGAGGTTTTCCCCAGTCTCGCACTTGACAAATCTCATATCCCTTCTGTGGAGTGACATGCCAGCAGAGAATTAGAGTATTGCGATTCAAAGTGTGATTGAGAGGAGGAGGCGGGAGGAGACGGGAGGAGACGGGAGGAGACGGGAGGAGGCGGGTGGAGACGGGAGGAGACGGGAGGAGACGGGAGGAGACGGGAGGAGACGGGAGGAGACGGGAGGAGACGGGAGGAGGCGGGAGGAGACGGGAGGAGGCGGGAGGAGACGGGAGGAGACGGGAGGAGACGGGAGGAGGCTGGAGGAGACGGGAGGAGGCGGGAGGAGGCTGGAGGAGGCGGGAGGAGACGGGAGCAAGCGGCCTCTCCATGTGTCACCTTAGTGTCCGCCGATGAGGAGAGATGACAGCTCCTGGAGTGGACTGCAGATTGGCCAGACCAGAGAGAGACCAGAGAGAGACCAGAGAGAGACCAGAGGAACCGGAGAGAGACCAGAGGGAGACCAGAGGGAGACCAGAGGTTTTCCCCAGTCTCGCACTTGACAAATCTCATATCCCTTCTGTGGAGTGACATGCCAGCAGAGAATTAGAGTATTGCGATTCAAAGTGTGATTGAGAGGAGGAGGCTTTAAGAGGCGGGAGGAGGCGGGAGGAGACGGGAGGAGGCGGGAGGAGGCTGGAGGAGGCTGGAGGAGGCTGGAGGAGGCTGGAGGAGACGGGAGGAGGCAGGTGGAGACGGGAGGAGGCTGGAGGAGACGGGAGGAGGCGGGAGGAGGCTGGAGGAGACGGGAGGAGGCTGGAGGAGACGGGTGGAGGCGGGTGGAGGCTGGAGGAGACGGGAGGAGACGGGAGGAGACGGGTGGAGGCGGGTGGAGGCGGGAGGAGACGGGAGGAGGCAGGAGGAGACGGGAGGAGGCGGGAGGAGGCTGGAGGAGACGGGAGGAGGCTGGAGGAGACGGGTGGAGGCGGGTGGAGGCTGGAGGAGACGGGAGGAGACGGGAGGAGACGGGTGGAGGCGGGTGGAGGCTGGAGGAGACGGGTGGAGACGGGAGGAGACGGGAGGAGACGGGTGGAGGCGGGTGGAGACGGGAGGAGACGGGAGGAGACGGGAGGAGGCGGGAGGAGGCTGGAGGAGACGGGTGGAGACGGGAGGAGACGGGTGGAGGCGGGTGGAGACGGGAGGAGACGGGAGGAGACGGGAGGAGGCGGGTGGAGGCGGGAGGAGACGGGAGGAGACGGGAGGAGGCGGGAGGAGGCGGGAGGAGACGGGAGGAGACGGGAGGAGAAGGGAGGAGGCGGGTGGAGACGGGAGGAGGCGGGTGGAGGCGGGTGGAGACGGGAGGAGGCGGGAGGAGGCGGGAGGAGGCGGGAGGAGACGGGAGGAGGCTGGAGGAGGCGGGAGGAGATGGGAGGAGACGGGAGGAGGCGGGAGAAAGCGGCCTCTCCATGTGTCACCTTAGTGTCCGCCGATGAGGAGAGATGACAGCTCCTGGAGTGGACTGCAGATTGGCCAGACCAGAGAGAGACCAGAGAGAGACCAGAGAGAGACCAGAGAGAGACCAGAGAGAGACCAGAGGGAGACCAGAGGTTTTCCCCAGTCTCGCACTTGACAAATCTCATATCCCTTCTGTGGAGTGACATGCCAGCAGAGAATTAGAGTATTGCGATTCAAAGTGTGATTGAGAGGAGGAGGCTTTAAGAGGCGGGAGGAGGCGGGAGGAGACGGGAGGAGGCGGGAGGAGGCTGGAGGAGGCTGGAGGAGGCTGGAGGAGGCTGGAGGAGACGGGAGGAGGCAGGTGGAGACGGGAGGAGGCTGGAGGAGACGGGAGGAGGCGGGAGGAGGCTGGAGGAGACGGGAGGAGGCTGGAGGAGGCGGGTGGAGGCGGGTGGAGACGGGAGGAGGCGGGAGGAGGCGGGAGGAGGCGGGTGGAGGCGGGTGGAGACGGGAGGAGGCGGGAGGAGGCGGGTGGAGGCGGGTGGAGACGGGAGGAGGCGGGAGGAGGCGGGAGGAGGCGGGAGGAGACGGGTGGAGGCTGGAGGAGGCGGGAGGAGGCTGGAGGAGGCGGGAGGAGGCTGGAGGAGGCTGGAGGAGGCTGGAGGAGGCTGGAGGAGACGGGAGGAGGCAGGTGGAGACGGGAGGAGGCTGGAGGAGACGGGAGGAGGCGGGAGGAGGCTGGAGGAGACGGGAGGAGGCTGGAGGAGGCGGGTGGAGGCGGGTGGAGACGGGAGGAGGCGGGAGGAGGCGGGTGGAGGCGGGTGGAGACGGGAGGAGGCGGGAGGAGGCGGGAGGAGGCGGGAGGAGACGGGTGGAGGCTGGAGGAGGCGGGAGGAGGCTGGAGGAGGCGGGAGGCGGCGGGTGGAGGCTGGAGGAGACGGGAGGAGACGGGAGGAGACAGGAGGAGACGGGAGGAGACGGGAGGAGACGGGAGGAGGCGGGTGGAGGCAGGAGGAGGCGGAGGAGACGGGAGGAGGCGGGAGCAAGCGGCCTCTCCATGTGTCACCTTAGTGTCCGCCGATGAGGAGAGATGACAGCTCCTGGAGTGGACTGCAGATTGGGTTAGGTCAGAGGAGATGAGGCTTAAATGAGGCCGGAGGGAGCCATTGGGAGGAACAAGACGAATGAAGCGAGGGGAGAGGATATCGTGGGTCACACATTAGCCACCTCCCATTCCTCTGCTCACGCTCTGGAAGTGGCTCTAACGCATCGTGAATGGGTTTGTACGAGCGCTAATGGGCCCTTGTTTTGTTATTCATTTCTTCTGAATTTAGTATTCAGCAATAGAAAATGATCTCTCCGTTGCCGTTGTTAAATCACATTAAGGCAAAACGATCTATTTAGTATTCTAAGGAACGGTCGTAAATCTGAAAGAGCTCTGTGGTGGTCTGTAGGATGTAACGTGTGTGAGTCTGGAACCATCAACGCCTGAAACCAGCAGAGCACAGACTCTATAGTGCACTGCTCTGTCTCAGTGTCTCAGAGAAATGTGGAGAGACTTTCACCCGGAAACTCCAACAACACTCAACAACTACTGTTATGTGTCAGTGTTTCTTTTTCTCTTCCTGAAAACGTTTGTAATGAATCAGTGTTTGTACTTTTTAAAGGCTTGATATTAGCTTTGTACGTTATCAAGCCCAGGGCGACAGTGGCTCAGTTGGTAGAGCATTGGCGCCTGAAGGTCGTGGGTTCAAGCCCATCACAAGACCTACTTCATGACTCCCGCTGATGACTGCTGTCGTTGTGTCCTTGGGCAAGACACTTAACCCCAATTTTGCCTGAAGCCCCACAGAAAGATCTCAGCTCCTGCAGGAGGATCAGTGAGGGGCTGGTGCTCTGTGGACTGGGTGCATTAAGGGGAAGAAGATGGATGGACGTTATCAACCCCCTCAGGGCACAATTAAACTGGGATGACAGGAAAAAAATCTGATATTTGGGAAAAATTATCATGTCTTAGTAATTTGCACTCCTGACGGCAATGCATTCTGGGATGTTGTAGATGAGCAACATTGGCTCGCTTTGGTAAATAGAGCTGACCCGAGTTAAAACCCAGAGGATATATAACCTACTAATTGGCATGTTCTGTATCTATATATAATTATCTTTCATTTTATGAAGTTTTGGTTTATGATTATCAGAAGTTGGTCATGATACTGACTTGAAATTGATGCCTAGAAAATTAGTGTTGATGTAAAAACTAAAGAGACTTACTTTGGAAGTGAGACAGCTGCGCCCCCTGGTGGGCAGGTGGAGAACTGTGTGTTGCTAAAGCTCAGTCGAGCTGTGGTCCTTCTGAGTAACAAAGGGTCAAACATATGGAAGTGGAGTAGTTAGGTCATAAGAAATAAAGCTGTGTCAAGGTTCAACTTTATAGTCCCCTCAGGGTCACAGCTGTTGGACACAAACACACAACACACTTTCAACGTCAGGACACACAACAACAACACAAGAATATTCTATAGTTATTGTACAGATCGATCGGTGCAAGGATACACAATAATACACTAGTAAAAGGCCACAAACAAAAACAGTATTACCCCCCGTGCCTGTGTATGTTTCCTCCAGGTGCTCCGGGTTAGGATCTGTCTAACAAGGATACGGGCCCATTCTACTGCCACACACTGAATGATGCTGGAGGCTTTTACCAGATACATTAACAACGTAAAATCATATTGAATAACGCTTCCATGATGTGTAGGAAGTTGTGGCATCTTCGGGAGAAAATGGTGAAACGCTCACGCCGCGATGATGCTTTGGGAAAATGCCAAGTGAGATTATAAACTGAGAGGTGAGAGCGTGGGAGTGATGAGGTAAAAGGGTAATCTAAATCATAGACGAGTGGTGAAGCTCGGCCCAGCATTTATCTGTCATGTTAATGTGGAATAATACCCAACCACCACTAACAACATTATATATTTATGAGAAAATGAAAATATACAGGTTTTGCCCCAGGCTGCTTAAATAAAATATATTTATCTCTCACGCTGGTTGTAATTTTCAGGATATACGGCCTCAGGTCTTAAATGTCAAATGGTGCCACTAACGCCTCAGTCAATCATTCTCTCTTTCTAATGCTTGTGTTTTTTGTGCTTTTCCCAAATCCACTTTTAATAGTCAACAAAGTTTGTAAGTGTAGTAGCAGCAGCACCGCGGGGGGCGAGGTGGGGGTTATCCGCTGTTTTGGCTCTGCTCGTTCGCAATGTGTGGGATTTTTTTTTTCTAAATTCCTACACCGCAAAAATATGTGTTTGAATTTTTCAGGACCAGATCGACCGATAACCTGCAGATATGAAAATGAGCTCCTGCAGAGTGTAGACCGCGGAAAGGAGTGGACGGAGTGAGACGTGACTCAGAGTGGTTAGCTTTAGAAGAAACCAATTAGTGCTAACTCTGCCACGCTCCATGGGCAGGAATCTGGGGCCAAGTGCTCTCACGGCAACCACATAGCAACCGCATAGCAACCACATAGCAACCAAAGGATCAGGAGCAAGACTGGTCCCACGGCTTCTATGAGAGATGCGCCACAGTCAGAAAAAAAAGATGATCAACATGTTTCACAGATGCACATTTTAGAGAATAAGTTGACTTTAGCTGAATTACATTTATAAATCCACTTAGAGGAAGCTAACGTTAAAACTAGGTACAGTATACAGCTAGCATATGTCAGATTTGCAGGTTGTGATCAGTGGGGGCTGGTGGGGGTGTACCCAGAAACAGAATTATTCATTGAATTCTTATGGCGCCTTTTTCTCTCTCAAAAATAGATTTACAGCCTGCTCCAAAAGTCGCTCTTGGCCCAACACTACGTTCCTGAAGCTGTCCAAGCTGAGGGGACGATCGTTTTCTGGGCCGGCCGAGTTTAGCCGCTGTGGACTTTAGAATGCACTCGTTTAATCAGGGGGGGCTCAGGAGCTATCAGGAGCTCGCCAGCCCCTTTCAGGTTTAGAACTTAACATATGAGCTTTACTTTATTCATTTTTAGTCGTTAGGTATCTATATCTACTTATTTTACAGTATTATGGTATAGTTATGTGTTCTCATTTGTTTTGTCCCAAATATTACAAAGATATTTTATCACGACTGCAAGAAGTAGTAGCTCTCTGCCTCTTTCCTTGCATGAAAGTAGCTCTCAGATTGAAAACGCTCACAAACTGGGTTAAATGAATGGGGCTCGTGCAGCTAACACATGCGCAAATGCAGTTTTTCACATTTTCCTGTGGGAGGGGCTGTCCGCGGCCATTTTGAAATCATGCATGTTTTTCACACATGGCGGCACGGTGGCTGAGTGGTTAGCACTCTCGCTTCTCAGCAAGAAGGTCCTGGTTTCAAATCCCGGTGGGAACAGGGCCTTTCTGAGTGGAGTTTGCATGTTCTCTCTGTGTCTGCGTAGGTTTCCAACGGTTTCCCCTACCACTAAAAACATGCACAATAGGTCTGAATGTAAATGAGAGAGTGAATGGATGGTGTTGGGTCGGAGGTTTTGAATGTCCAGTGTGTTCTGGACTCGCTTCTGTCATCACCGTGTGTGGAAGGACTGGAACAATATCTGACTCTGAACATTGTACAGAGCTTTGGGTCTGTACCTTGGTCTGCAACACGTCCTATATAAATAAACATTACTTACTTACCTACTTTTATTTCAACGGAGAAAATATCCGTCACTATGTCCGTTAAAATTTACAGTCTGTGGTTGTAATTAAGGATTTGGAATAGCTTCTCCAAAACTTCTTTGCTCCTTCTCTCATAAAACTGCTCCACAACATGAGACTGCCACCCCCATTCTTTAGAGTTAGGAGAGTATTTTCGTGCCTATAATCTTTCCATTTTTCCTTCCAAATTAAAGCTTTTTTTGTCACTTCATATACATTTAACCTCTTTTTCCAAAACCAGATTACGTTAGCAAGAACTGAGAACATTGGGCCATTGTGTGCTGCTGTTTGAGGCAAAGGTTTGTTCTTTATGTCTATCAAACTGGAAAACCAGAATATATTATATTTTGTTTTGCTCAAGTCAATTTAATGTATTCTTGTGCAGCCCTAAGACTTTGTCAATTCACCAACAACAGATCAGAGAATCAGTTCAATTAACAAACACAGAGGAGCCGTTGGTGCAAAGGGAGCAGGATGACCACTGTTGTATTTAAACGTTCTTAAATGATCTTAAATGATCTTAAATGTCAGAGAAACAAAAGTGAGAATCTTTGAGGAGACAGACGGGCCGTGGATCCAGGACTCAGACTGTAAAACGAGGACCGAGGCCACACGGACCAATGCAGGACTGAAGATTCGGACCAAGAGGAGACCAGTCCACAGGTGTAGATGGCGATGGAGGAGGCCGGGGTCAGACGTCCCATCATCAGACAATGGGACAGCGGATGAATAGCAATGAACAGAAGTTAGTAGTGATGAAAAGTAGAGGAGAAGATAGAGCTCAAGTTACCACACCTCTCACAATCTGTGGTCTTTGACTTAAAGAAGCTATTCCCAATTTTTTAAAATGAGTTCATGAAAATGCGTATCATATATACAAGTTGTATTAAAATCCGTTATCTAATGTAAAACTTTAGTTCATTGATTCAGCTGTATATGAATTCAGCCGTAGAAACATTAGAGACTTCGCGTGACGCCAGCTCTCCTCCAATCACAGAACGAGGAGCGGCGCTGTTACGAACAGGCCACGCCTCCCCTAGCTAAACATTCAAACTGAAAAAAACCTACGGAAACTGGTATAGCTCCTTTAAGGTGCATTTCTAAGTCTTTGTCCTCGTCTTGTATATTAACAGATATTTAGTTTTTCTCATATTATAATCTCATTTTTATTGTTATTTTCTGTTACTTTAATGTTATTTTTTATTGTGAAATACTATTCGTAGCTACTGTGACCACGCAACTTCCCTTGTGGATCAATCAAGTCTGTCTAAGTCTAAGTCTTACCCACTGGCTCATAATGCTCATTACCCATAACCCTAACCCTTTAATAATGACGGACAAAACTTTGAG